CGCTGCCACACCCGGAGTCCAGGCCAAGCACCCCGCACACGGGAGGCCTGGCGGGTGCAGTGCAGGGGTGGTGGCCTGTGTGGCGCCTTCCCTGGCAGAGCTACCATCCACCGAATGGAGAGGTCTGTGCCACCTCGCCCCAGAGTGCAGGGCCTGCAGCTACTTATAGGCCCTCCCGACCTCCCACCACCCCACGCAGACACAACCACGGCCCCCCTCAAGCCCCCTCCAGCACCCCTCGTCCCCAGGTCCCCGCACACCACACTCACTGGCCGGGGACGGGGTGCTGTATCCGCTCACGGGAAGCTGGTGAGGCAGCGTGGTCAGGGCGCCCGGTGGTGACAGTCCACCCAGCATCGGGGGGAAGAAGAAGGCGTAGGGGGGCACCGGGTACCCAGTGAGGTGCCCGCCCCCAGGTGTCGGGCAGGAGCTGCTGTTGCTCGCCATGCCAAGAGGCCACAGTCAGAAGGGCAGGTGGACAGTCCCGCGCGGGCTGCAGGGGCTTCAGGCCGCCCCTCCTCGGGGCATGGGGCCTGGGCCCACGGGGTGTCTGGGGCAGCCTCCCCCCTCTTCCGTCCTGCAGCTGCCGTCCAAGGTCAGCAAGCCAGGCCTGGCCTCCCAGAGCCCCCACTGCACTGGGGGCCACCGGCTGGAGATGTCCCAAGAGCCAGGCCTTCGGAGGAGCAGCTCTGCAAGGCGGGGCACTTTCCCAGGGAGGTCCAGAGCTGGCCTTCAGGGTGACACAAGGGACGCCACTCCTAGATGATCCCCAGCGAGGCGGCTTGGGGGGCCATGTCCCGTGGCGCTGCAGAAAGAGGAAACAGGTAAGTGGGCACAGAGAAGCGGGATTCCCACGAGCTCCCCAACCTGGGCGGCCGGAGATTTTCCCGTGGCACCCAGCTGAGCAGACGGCTGGCACAGTGCCCGGCTGGCAGAGCCAGCCTGGGAGTGGGGCCCAGACGCAGCTGGGGGTGGCAGGAGAGCACAGCCGGGCTGGAGAGGTTAGGACACAGCCCGGAGCACCTTGGGCCTCTCACCCAGGATCCCCGGGGCAAGGGTCCCCGGTGCTACCCGAGGGCCAGGCCGTGCAGGCGGGCAGCTGGCTCCTTCCCAGCATGGGTTACCCGAGGTCAAGATAGGACCTGCACCTACAGGAGGACGGAGGAAGAGCTGTTTCCCTAAAGCATTGGCGCTTCTCAGAAAAAGAACTCCTGAGCGAGGGGCCTGGCTTACACCACTTCCCCCCCAAATCCAAGTACCCCAGATGAGCTGGTCCCACAGGCCGGCGGGGGAGGAGGGCGGTTCACACACCCGGAGGGGAAATGGAAACCAGAAACTCCCAGGCATCACCTCCACAACCGCGGTCCATGGAAGTCGCCCGCCCCCGCAAGGAAGGGCAGGAGGGGTGAGATGCACTCGGAACGGCGAGCACAGGGGCAGAAGATGAAAGGCCAGACACCCCTCCCAGTGGACCCGATCCACACCCTGCCATGGACAGCTGGGCAGAGGATTCAGCGATAGCACTCGGGGTAGACAGAAGCTCTAGAAGCACAGGGATTCCAGGACAGTGAGACAGGCAGAGCAAGGCAATGAGACACAGACCCACAGAGAACGCTTCACATTTATTTGCATGTAGTTATGCATAAGTAAGATGTTTAAACTCTAATGCCAGCACTCAGGGAAGCTGAGGCAAGAGCACTGCTGCAAGTTCACATCCAGGCTGGACAACACAGCAAGCTCAAGGCCAGCCTGGACTGTGCAGCAAGACCCTGTCTCAAGAAAAACAAAACATAATAAGAAATAAGCTGGGCATGGTGGTGCACGCCTGTCATCCCAGCACTCGGGAGGCTGAGGCAGGAGGATCACTGCGAGTTCGAGACCAGCCTGGGCTACATAGGGCAGTCTGAACTACACAGTGAGACCCTGTCTCAAAACATATATAAAAATAAAAAATAAGTAGAAATAAGTAACAGGTATTTTCCGCATACACAGTATATGATGAAAGAAGAGGGACATACAAAAAAATTCGCGACTGATCAACACTACGTCAGTCAAGCTCTTCCTGATCCTACATCCTTCCCTTCCTTCTCCCCCCAAGACCTGACCTCAAGAATGTTCCCTAATTGGGCCGGGGATTTAGCTCCATGGTTCTGCTTCCTGCCTCAGAAGTGCAAGGTCCCAAGTTCGATCCCCAGTACCAAAAAAGAGAATGTTCCGTACTAAATGTCTGCACACCCACTAACAAGGCTATAATAAAAGGACTGATAATAAGCACTGGGGAGGGCGGGAGATGTCAGAACCCACGAACAGTGGGTGAGACCACAGAACAGCAAGTTGGTTCGGAAGACGGTTTGGCCACTCCTAGGTCTCTACCAAGGGAAAGACAAGTCAACAAGAGCTCCACCTGGGCTGGGGATAAGGCTCAGGGGTACACCGCTCACGTAGCACACGCAGGCTGAGTGTCCCCAGCACGAAGAAAGAAAAAAGACCCGTACATAAATGGAAGCCACTGCACAGAACAAACAGTGGAACCAACCAAAATGTCCATTAACTGATGAATCCTGTACATCGTGTGATGGAATATTATCCGACTGAAAAAGGGGGATGAGAATACCTTGCAAACAATGGTGGTTACACAGGATGGTGTATTGTGTGGTTCCATTTACATGAAATGCCCAGCGGAGGCAAGTTTGCACAGATAGATTTGTGGTTACCAGGGGCTGGCACAGGACCTGAAGGAAATGGTATGCTGATGATACGAAGGCTCTTTTTAGGGTGATTAAAATGCTTTAAAATTGACTTGGATGCCAGGTGTGGTGGCACGCACCTTTAATTTCAGCACTCAGGAGGCTGAGGCAGGAGGATCACTGTGAGTTCGAGGCCAGCCTGCTCTACATGGTGAATTCAAGGCCAGCCTGGACTACACAGTGAGACCCTGTCTGAAAAAATTTTTTGATTTAGGGCTAGAGATTTAGCTCAATGGTTCTGTCGCCTGCCTCACAAGTGCAAGGTCCTGAGTTCCATCCCCGGTACCAAAAGCAAAAATAAATAGGGCTGGGGATTTAGCTGTGGTTCCACCACCTGCCTAAAAAGCCCAAGGACCTGAGGTTTGATCCCTGGTACCGAAAAAGCAAACAAAAATAAATAAAAATAAATAAATTTAGGCCAGGTGTGGTGGTGCACGCCTGTAATCCCAGCACTCAGGAGGCTGAGGCAGGACGATTGCTGTGAGTTCAAGACCAGCCTGGGCTACATAGTGAGTTCCTGGTCAGTCTTACTATATAGTGAGAACCTGTCTCAAAAAACCAAATAAATAAATAAATAAAATAAAATTTTAAAATTGACTTAGAGGGAAAAAAATTGACTTAAAGGTAGTCATATAACTATAAATATACTGAAACCAGTGAATTTTATACTTTAGTGGGTAAATTCTTTTTGGTACATTTTAGGCATACAAGACAGTTACATTCATCATTCGGATCTTGTATCTTTACCTGACATATCTTGGTTCTTATTAGCGGGTAAATTTTTTAAAATGTGAACTACATAACAATAACATTCTTTTTTAAAAAATGAAGAACATGCCGGGCATGGCAGTGCACGCCCGTAATCCCAGCACTTGGGAGGCTGAGGCAGAAAGACTTCCGTGAGTTTGAGGCCAGGCTGGGCTACATAATGAGTTCAAGGCCAGCATGATCTACACAGGGAGACTCTATCTTCAAAAAAAAGAGGAGAAGGGCCAGACAAGGTAATGGTGGTGCCCCCCAATATTCTCACCACTCTGGGAGGTTGGGGGTCGGATCACAAGTTTAAATCCCATGACTGACCGCTTAGTGAGAGCTTGCTCCAAAATTTAAATAAAAAGGTCTGGGAAAATAGTACAACATGGAAGGCCCTGGGTTCAATCGCCTGCACCTGGAAAAAACAAAAACAAAACAGGGCCACAGAGACCCAAATTAAGGACGGAACCTTTGTCCCTTTGTAACACCCTGCATCCCTGCCCCCCCGCAGCTTCAGGCCTGGACCTGGGGAGCAGAGATAGTGTCCACCGGGCCTGCGATAGGGGCGGGGTTCCCCACCACGGTGGCCGAGGGCTGCCTGCCGGCCTGTGCGGGTCCGAGGGCCCCGGAGTGGAGCCTGGGCTTCGCGGGTGACCACTTCGGTGATGCCAGCCTCAGGGCC